ATCTTCATACAAAAAATGTGGGAAAATTAATGTCTCCTAAAAAATATTCCCCTCTTTCAATTTCATAATTTGGATTACTTTCTTTTTTTGTATGTTTCTATAATTAAAAATTCACTCTTGATTGAAACATATACATTGTTAGTTAAATGAATTAAAATTGTTTCTCCTACACTTATTACAAGATATATTTCCAAAAGGTAGCACATTGGAAGCACTACAAGTTTTATAATCTGACTGACCGTTTAAAAGCCATTATCAACATTAGCTCTACAAATACGACAAAATACCACTTTTTAAGCTTTCTGGATCATACTATCAAACATCCACTCATTTTTACACGTGATATGTCAGATACATTTCGTTTCAAAATTATTTTTGAACATATTTCATTATTTCAAAAGACTAATTGGAATTAGTTTTCGAACATTTCGAAACATGAAGAGGATTTATTTAGCAAAAAAAAATTTGATATTCACGAACATTTTTCAGCACCTTATTTTTTGTGGGGGGAGTCAATTTTTCTTACTGTTTCACCTATAACCTGAGAAATTAAGTTCAATCGATAAAGAATGTGCTGAAGAGTAATGAAGGGCAAACTGTGTAAACCACTGAAGTAAAACAAAATAATCTTTTTCGTTTTCAAAACCTAAAAAAAATTACTTGTGAACAACGCCTCAATTAGAAATACCTATATTTTCTTTGACACACATCTTAAGAATGAAAAGTCCAGATGTCATATTCCATAGTCTACATAAATACGCATGAAGAATGGTTTCTGATAATTCAGTTCAGGTTCATATTTCCGTTTTCTACTTTCCGCCTTAGCAATGGCAACTACGTACGATCAATATCCACAGAGCTATTTGAGATACACTTGTTACCTGCTAAAAGAATATATACGGATTTGTTAAGAATCATCTCAGGTTTTGAACTTACTTTAACTTTCCATATTGGTGTTGAAATTGGTTTACAGCCAATGAGATTGAAACATTCAAGAATCTTCATGGCATATGCTTTTTGACTTATCTTAATACTTCCATCCTCTTTCTGGTTAATTTCTATTCCTAAATAATATGTTGCTGGCTCAACTGTAATTATAAACTGGGAGTTTAGTTCTTTTAAGAATTCTTCTAGATCTCCGGAGTCAGAGGCTACTATTAAGCAATCAACAACATACAAGACTAAGAATAGTTTCTCGCTATTTCTTTGCCTGCTGTATGAGCATGGATCAGCTTCGTTGACTGTGAATCCTAAATTTGTCAGAAATATTTGAAGCGACTATACCCATATCTAGGAGCCTGTTTCAAACAATATAAGCTGCTTTTAATTCACAAACCCTGTTTGTAGCGTCGTTGTATCCATCCGGCTGTTGCATATATATAGCTTCGCCACTGGACTGAATGTTTGGCTATAATCGATACCCTGGCGTTGATTGAATCCTTTTACTACCAGCCTGGCCGTATACCTTTCAACACCTCAATCTGGGTTTGTTTTAATTCGAAAAACCCAACTGCAAGGTAATGCCTTGGCTGTTTCAGGTACATTTGTTAATTCCCAAGTATGATTTTCTTTTGAAGAAGCTATTTCACTATCCATTGCTTCTTTCCACTTGATTCCCTCTTTACTGTTAACTGCCTCTTCAAACGTCTCGGGATTTAACATATTGACTAGATCTTCAATAGACAAAACATAATTTTCGAAACGTGTAGGTGGTTTTAGCATTGACCTCTCTTAGATTTCTCCTAGTGTGATACTGAAGATCAGATTCCTCTATCCAATCTTCATTTCCATCGTAGGAAGTTTCTTCTTTTATTTCACGTTTCTCTATGTCTTCTTCTATACATCGAAGTGGCAATCTAATCGTCTCTAAACATTCAACTATGCTCTCTTGGAATTTTACACCTCTGGATAATATAACTTGATGAGTGTTTCTGGCTATTGGCCTCATCAGCACGATGTAGCCAAGTGTAAAGATGGGCAACACTTGTTTGCCGAAAGCAGGAAACAACATACGCACGGAGTCAACAACAGGATGAGCCAGCCGCACATTTGTGGTTCCAGCTAGAAGACCTAGAATTCCCAGGCTACATCTAACATGACCACGTAGGCAGCTATAGCTACCTGCGTGACATCCGGGTCCAGGATATAAATACAGAGAGAGATTTTATCGAGTGTGTATGATACAAATAAAAAATGAAACAAGTAGTGGACACAACACTCCAAAAAGGGGGCAAATTAAAGGTCGACTCTTTCAGTTATATTGCCCATAGCATATGCAGTATATTTTCTGTGAAGATTCCTGCCAGGGGAATAGTTTAAGTTCATTTCTTTAGATTTGTTTACTGCCAGTCTTCAAGCATAGCCTACTGACTAATAAGAAAATATATTCTACTTGTTGAATTGAAGTAAATTTGATTTTTTTTTTCCTTTGCTCTTCAGTATAAGTTTGGAAAAACCTAAGAGTTACAATTAGTTTTAAATCGTTTTAGCTAAGAAACCATAATTTCCCCATTTTGAAACTCTGCACACTGCTGGTCCGTAAAGATTGGTATATACAAAGTCAATTCAAATGTCATATAAACTAAATAGTTACCGAACGTCGGTAGTTTCTTTGTATGGTTGAGAGTCAAGCCATTCATTATTTTTATGTGAGCAGTTTTCTATGGTATCAACTAGTAAATTTATCAGACTTGGTACATTAGTCTTTCATTTAGTTGTTCTGATTGACTTTGTATAGACTATAGACTACTTCTGGGAATTTTTGTACGTGACTTTTCAGAAACTCAAAATCCATTTTTTTCAATTAGGAGAAAAGAAATAACAATTTGAGTAAATGCCTCAGAGTGATATTAGGTGTCTTTTGGAAAATCAAAATGGATATAAAATAGGTTAACACGAAAATTTATAATTTTATATGCTTTTCAGACTATATGAAATATGCATATGTGAGAAGTTTTATCAAACTCTGAGACATAAGGTTTAATAGGTTTGTTGCTTTGACAAAGATTGACTCCACAGCAGATTCTCTATTGATTTAGCTTTGTTTATTTTTCAAATTGTGGAAGACGAAACATCCAAAAATAGTGAGAAACTACTAAGTATTGAAAAATAATACATCATTATTTAAAACTCATTTATTCAAAAGTATTCCTGTATGTTTTTTTTTGACATGTTTTCTGAAAGCACCTCTGGTATTGAATTTCATATCACAGCTTTCACATTCAAATTCTCTTAAGTTGCTATGAGTTTTTAGATGTTCTTCAAAACCACTAGTCATAGTTTTTCCACAAATATTACAAGTGTTCTTTTTAATTGTCCCTTCATGGTATTTTGAGTGAGCATCTAAATTTTTCTGGGAAGCAAACCTTTTATCACAAACCGTGCAAGAATAGTTTTTTATACCCTTATGGTTATTAACATGCGCTTCTAAATATTCCTTTCGCATGAAACCTTTTGCACAAATAGAGCAAGTAAAAGGTCTACTGCTATTGTGGACTTTCATGTGAAAATTGAGATTACTTATGGTTTTATAACTTTTACTACATTTTGAACAGGAATATTTTTTGTCAGTACTATGAGTAACCATGTGACTTTTATAATCTGAAACTTTAACAAATCCAATGTTACAAATAGAACAAATGGCTATGAATTTCTTGTCATGTTTGAGTTTAACATGATTTTTTAGCTTATTAGCTGAAGCAAATTTTTTGTTACAATAGTGCTGTTTGCACACGAATGGCAAGATTCCCAAACAAAAATTTTGATGTTCCCTCAAATTTGACTTTGTTCTGTGAGTCTTTTCACAATTGGAGCACTTCAAAGGGTCTATATTAACAATTTTTTTATGTACTTTCAAATGCAATAAAAACTTTCTTCTACTAATTGATACCAAGCCACACAAATCACAAAGAAATTTGCGAGTTTTGTGTCTTTTGATATGGTAACGAAAAAAACTCTGGAGGCAAAATACATTTTTACATAATCTACATCTGAACTTTAGAAACTTATTACTGTATAATTTTTTAGTGATTTTGACATCTTCATTTAGTATTTTTTTTTTAACTGAAATATTATTTTCCTTACATGTTTTCTTGAATTTTGTGATGAATTCTTCATTGAAATTTTCCAGTTTGAGTTGCAGGTGGTCTATTGTATTGATTAGTCCTAAACATTCACTACACAGATAGTTTTTTTTGGTAGAAAAGGCCCCTACTATTTCTGTAATTTTATTAATCACTGGTCGTTGACTTGACATGGTGAGGGGATTTTCAGTGGTCAATAAGTAAAATTGAGTGCCCAGAGGAGTATAATTTATGTTACATACAAGGCACCTATTTGTCTGGTATTGCTGCCTCCTATCATGGTCCTCGCTATGATCTGTTACTTCATCATCAGATTCTTCAACTATAATGTCACTATCATCATTTGAATCTTCAGTCTGCTGATCAATAGGATTTATTATTGGAGTAAAAGGTATATTTGAAGATGTACCGAAGAAATTTTCATTATGGGAAACTGGCTGGCAGAACTGATTTTTATCATAATAATTATAAGAATTATAATCAGGAACAAAGTCACTTGAAGATTTATATCCATTTTTATTGAAAAAATCCGAGCTTTCTGGGGGCAAATTATCGATGTAGCCACAACTCTTGGTGAAAAAATCCAAATCATAATTTTTTTGAATGCTGCAGAACTTTTGAGATTTATCTAAATGGGTGGAAACCTGGGCACATGATGGCAACTCATAATTTCTTTCACAATTATTTTGGCTATACCACTGATTGTTAAATCTAGTAAAATAATTTGCTTCTTTTTCTAGGGGTTTAGGACTTTCAAGGTCTGCATTGCTAATATATCCAACAGGACTTGGATTTTTACAAGATATTTCAATCATTTCCATCTTATCTGGCATTTTTATGTTTTTTGCTACATCTGGAATCAGCCTATTCTCCCAGTTCAGGTGCTCCAGTTGATCTGTACTGGATGCATAGTAATTTTGCTGGCGATTTTGTATAGAACCAGTACTAGTATTATAAACATCCATATAATTCACAGAAGATAAAAAGTTATTGTTCACCTGAGGGATAGAATAGTTAGGCCCAATGTTAATCTGAGGCTGTTTGTTACTCTGGAGATACAAATTTGAAAAAGTTTCCATTGTAGAATATTAGTAAACAAAAAATTATCCATATAAATATAGGTTTAATATAAAATAAAAATGTTAGGGGAGGTTCGATGTTCGTTGACAGTTAAGGTTATTGTGATAACTTATATCAGCATAGTCGTCTTCTTTTAAATCATGTTGGAATTAAAACTTCTCTCTCTCTCTCTAATTTATATGGCCGTTGCATCTTATTCGAGCGCATTTGGCCAAGGTGTTCCTACCCATAGTGAAGTTCTGTTCCATAGTGAACAGAAGCTTCGTCCGAGTGCGCAGCGGTCTTGCAAAAAAAACACTCTCTTTTCTATAATTCATATAAAAGTATTTGTTTCGAAAGTATTTTCTTTCGTGTAATTCAATGTTTATATGGAAATAG